CTGTTTTTCTTACATGATGGTAAATAGAATCTTTTTTGCACCAAAAGATAACTATTCAGGTAAAAGGTTTTTTTTGAAATTAGGTCCTTTTGTAGCTAAATAAGCAGTAACATTTTTTTATACAAAAATAAGTCGCAAATATTGTCAGATACTATATTAGTGCAGATGCCTCATCCCCTACAAAGAAATTGGAGAACGCTAGTCTTCGGGCTAATTTTATTTACTACAAGTAACATAGAAATCGTTAATCCCCAAATTTTCGAACTGCTTTATTTTGAAAATATGTATATCAAAACTTAAGTATGTTAACTATTTAATTAATAAATTCAAAATTGATCCTGCATTTAATTAAACATATTTCAGTGACTTTTTAATTTTTTATTATTAACAAATCATAAATGGTAGTGCCATTTGTGAATTTCCACTACAAACATATCTAATAGCTATATTTTCAATACAAAAAAATGATTTACGAGCGCATTTTGTTTTCATTCATTTAGAAAAACATTTAAAATCATAATTTACCTTTTTGAGGTCTATTTTTTATCTTTTGTTAAATTACAGAAAATTCAGTAACGCATCGATATGTTAATATGTCGATATGTCATCTATTGACATTTATTTGAAATATTTTTTCTTTGTACGTATTGAGACCCCATGCTACTACTAACTAAACTAGCCCTCTAGCCACCAGTGATGACGATAAGACAAAATGTCAGAAGGGTTATGTCTGTTAAGGTTTTTTATAATATACATGTACATACATATAGCGTTATATTATACATATGTAGCAGAGCCCGTCCACTTTCTTAGAGAACTACGAACTAGAGCAAATGCATTAATAATGCACTACAAAAAAAATTAATTTCTCTATAGAAATAAAATCTAACAACGTATTCAATGTACGCAAAGACAGATGACTTAATAATTTATGTACAGTACAGCTGCCCAATCCTATACAAGGAACTTGAACAGCACTAATTCGGTCTATTCTTCAGAGTATTTTTATTTACCTGATATAATAGTAGATAGATAATAATAGATTTCGTACTGGGACCAGTTAATTTTAACTAATCGTTTATTTGAACGTATTTTTCTTTGTTCGTGATGAGAACCCATGGTATTATGCAGACAGAGGCATACTTGGTGTGCAAGCTGTCGCGGGTTCGAGTCCCGCTGGGGGCATTCGTTTGTGTGATGAGCACGAATGTTTGTACTCCAGTCATGGGTGTTCATATTTATATGATGTATGTATTTAAAACTATATATGTGTAGTGTATCAACTATCTGGTATCCATAACATCGGCCTCGTAGCTTACCATGGAACTAGATGGTGCTGTGTGTTAATGTCCCAACATATTTATTTATTTATTTATATGTTTTATCCTTGCTGCGCGCCTTCCCACATGTATCTATATATATATTTTATTTGTATTGTATTGAACCCTTTTTAACGTCCCGCTGCTGGGTACGGGCCTCCCTTTAATACGAGGGAGATCAGCTCATAGTCCTCCACGCTGGCCAAGTGCGGGTTGGCTGACTTCACATGTCTTTCGAAAACTTGCTAAGTTTTCTCAGACATGCAGGTTTCCTCATGATGCTTTCCTTCACCGTAAGGCAAGTGGTTATCATGTTAGAAATGATACGAGCATGAAAATATGAGAGGTGCGGGACCCGGGATTTGAACCGCGTCATTCGGTTTCCCAAGCGAGTACGTTAGTACTGGGCTACCACTGTCATATTTTATTTACAACAGCCTTAAAAAAGTTAAAATTGTTACGAATTTTTCTGAGTTTATTTATAAGGTATCGGTAAAATTACATGATACAGTAAACATTTTATAAACAAAACAATATTAGAATATATAATACTAGCGACTCATCCTCGCTTCGCTCTGGTTCGTCCCTAGTTTGTTTCCCCACCCAAACTTACATCCCCATTCTCACTCCCTTAAGGGATGATTTCCGGGATAAAAACTATTTCACTCACTCACTTTTCATATCATGAGATTTAAAAAAAACTATTCATTTTCTTCTATACAAAACTGTCCTGACAATAACAAACACAAAAAAAAAGAATTATCCAATTTAGTGCAGTCGATCGGAAGTTATGCGCGTACATACATTTCGGTGATTCTTTTTTATTTATATAGATGAGCTAGAGTAACACGCAGGCTATTGTTAGGCATCTTGGGACGAACATGAGCGATTCAGGGATGATTTCCGGGATAAAAATCCTATATCCTTCCAAGGGTCTCAAACTATCTTCTTACCAAATTTCATCTAAATCGGTTCAGTAGATCCAGAGATTACCCCCTACAACGTCACAAACTCACAAACTTTACCTCTATAATGTTAGTATAGATATCCTTCCTAAATGAACTAATAAATCCTTTTTAAATGAACTGTAAATATTTTTTTTTAACTGTAAAGATTAATTTGTAATGATTTAGGTATAAGGCATTTACTTATGTGACCTTGGCCGATAGGAATGTGTTTTAAAAAAAATAAAAAAGGGCGCGGATATTCATTTGTTTTCCCGCGCTTTTGCACAGAGATGTCGGTACCAGTACCACCCTGTAGCTCATTACGAATTGTTTGTAATACTGAAAATTATGATTATAAATTATGTAACTTACTGACTATTATAATATAAGAATATAATATAAGAATGTAAGCAAGGAATATCTCGAAATTTTATTAGGGACCCTACACATAAAACACCAAAACAATCTAAAAACTTAGCGCTATTGAAACATTTTGTCAAAATATCTGCCGGCATATTTGAAGTTTCTAAATAAATAATTTTAATAATATTTTTAATAATGTTTCAAAAAACAGCATTTTTGACAAAATGGTACCTATACTTACTTCTTTTATGGAACATTGAATTTTCAGTCAATTTTTTCGCGACTAGTGTCGCCACCACGATTTTCGAAGGTTCCCCTCGATTTCTCTAGGATTGTATCATCAAATCCTGGTTTCTTTATCATGGTATCATCCTCAGGATATCTTCTTTCCAACAAAAATAGAATCATCAAAATCGGTTCATAAACGACGAAGTTATCCGCAAACACACATAAAAAAATATACGGTCGAATTGAAAACCTTCTTTTCGAAGAAGTTGGTTGAAAAGCATTTCGTTGCTGTTGCTTCATTTATTATATAGATTTACTTCTAACAGCAGAACTCATAGCCAGTAGTTTAGTTTTTATAACATCCGCATTAAACGTGATACCTGAGTGCTCTATTGCCATTATCATGGGGGAAAACTTCTCAGGTATTCCCCTTAACAGTAAAGAACCGATCCATTCGTCATTTATTGCAAACCCTGCTCCTGCATGCTCCTCTCACATTTTTTGCAGTCTCAACTAACTGATTAAAGTTACAACTTGTCATTGATTCATAATTTTCGATACGTATAGATATTAGCGTTCGAAGTAGGGTATTTTTTTTTGTGAATCCGGAATGACGATTCCGGACTACAAAATAAATACTAAATACTTAATTATTTCAATTTCATCCACAAGTCGTTTATTGTTGCTTCGTTTTCAACCGACTTCAAAAAGGAGGAGGTTCTCAATTCGACTGTATTTTTTTTTTGTTTTTTTTATGTTTGTTACCTCAGAACTTCGTCATTTATTAACCGATTTGGACAATTTTTGTTTTGTTTGAAAGTGTATACTTCCAGATTGGTCCCATTTAAATTTCAAAAAAAAATACCACCCCTAAGGGTGGAAAAATAGCTAATAATGAATTTAACCTACTTCTAATTGTCATATTGACTTGAAACTTTGCAAGTGTTTCTATTTCCGTCGATAGTACAGTGGTTCGGTATTGTTGACCTGATCTGATGGTAAGGCCAGAAGGTGGATAGGTGGAACTTGTCAACGACTAATAGTAGATACTTTGAGTTTGGGCTTATTTTGTTTGGTTTGACAAGCCTAACACTTTAGAATTCTTACTTTGCTACTACTGTCTACACTAAAAAGGGAAAAATAAAAACTTTTTAACAAAAAAATAAAAACCGACTTCAAACAAAAGCACTAAAAAGTAAAAAAATAACTGATTGGTAGTTTTCATTTACTATACATACCTAATCAAATATTTTCGAAATCGGTGTGCTTTGGCTAAGTAATTAAAGCCTACCTATTAAATACATACCTAATCAAATATGTAACCATACCTAATCTTTGCTTTGTATGGGCTGGCACCGATTTCGAAAATATTTGATTAGGTATGTATTTAATAGGTAGGCTTTAATTACTTAGCCAAAGCACACCGACTTCGAAAATATTTGATTAGGTATGTATAGTAAATGAAAACTACCAATCAGTTATTTTTTTACTTTTTAGTGCTTTTGTTTGAAGTCGGTTTTTATTTTTTTGTTAAAAAGTTTTTATTCAGGAAATATTGTGTTTTATCAAATAGGCAAATGCTGAGAGGCTTTTGCCTGTTGTGCCGAATGATTCGGGATTCAATTCTCGAATAAAGACTTTAGCTCCTACATAGGGGTCCTACAATATTATTGAATAAAATATTATAAATATTATACATAAAAACTGAAAAATAATAATACTGTAAACTAAATCGGTACTCAGACATTCAATTTCAGTCTAAAAAACGTAAATTATACTATTAAAACCCTTATTTATCTTTTATAATGATATTTAGATATAGAAATTTCCATTTGGTTCCCTAAAATTCATCCAAACATAAATCAATATTTACATCTACTAATAGTATACGTAACATTGTTATCTGTGGAGTTGTTTACAGCGCGCCGGCCGGCGACGTTCAATAACATGCGAGAATAGCTCTACAAGTTTCGAGAATTTTCCACTTCTCGGTAGATGGCGTTAGGGGTATAAATAAGGCGGCCGACGAGCGTCTACATGGAATTTGAATTGTGCTAATGAAGCAACAAGCCTGTGTGAACCGAGTGCGATATTCTAGCGCTACGAATAAATACAGTGATATTTCACGATTATAAATTAAAAAATGTCTCTTCTACCATTCGTGTTTGACTATGACAGCCCTCGCTACTGTCCAAGCCGTCTTCTGGACCAGGATTTCGGTTTGGCGCTCACTCCGGACGACATGTTAACCGTTGCCGCCGCACCGTTGCTGTCCAGAGACTATTTCAGACCCTGGCGCCAACTGGCAAACGCAGCACGAGATGTCGGCTCCAGCATCAAAGCCGATAAAGACAAGTTCCAAGTGAATCTGGATGTACAGCATTTCTCACCCGAAGAGATAACCGTTAAAACTACAGACGGATACATCGTCGTTGAAGGTAAGCACGAAGAGAAAAAAGACCAGCACGGCTACATTTCTAGGCAGTTTGTCAGGAGATACGCTCTACCCAAAGGATGCAACCCAGACACCGTGGAATCCAAGCTTTCGACCGATGGAGTCCTCACTGTCACGGCGCCTAGAGTACCGTCCATAGCAAATAGTGAAAGAAGTATCCCCATCCAACAAACCGGGCCGGTGCGTAAGGAGATCAAAGACGCTAATGAAGAGCAGAAAAAGTAACTTTCGATATGACTAGCTTAGTTGTAACTTTTGAGACTGATTTTATTTTATTTTTTTAATTTAATTCAATTCTTTTATTTCGTGGCTTCTAGGAGTGCTAGTTGGGCACAATTAACTTCGCCAATGTCACGTAGTTTCTTTTTTAATTTAAATAAATTCAAATTGATGTCAACAACTTTTGTTTGATTTCTCCTTATGTGTATAATAAATAAAATTGATTATTAATTTGTATTTTATTGATTAATTCTATTTAATTCTTTTTTAATTGCTTAAATATATGTATTTTATACGTAGTAAAGTGACATGATTATTAGTCTATATTAATATAATCCTGACAGAGTCTAATCTGTACATTAAATATATTTTTGGAAAATCTTATTAAAATAGTCATTATTATCGATGCAGAGGAGAATCCATAGTTTTTAGAATTTTTGCCTGTCTGTCTGGGAACGCATCACGAGAAAACCACTGGACAGATTTTGACGAAATTTATTATTATGATAGCTTCAGCATATACTATAATAATAATATCTATGAGTTCTTTAAATATTTTAAATACCCATAAACCATAGCATATCGACCACTAAATCATTCACACAATCCACGAATGCAAAGATGAAGAATTTAATATTACAGAGAACAAGTGTGCTCTAGATCTGTACCTTTGCTCAGATCCTGCATTTTCCTTTTCGTGTACTATTCTGATTGAATTGAATACTATAATTATAATATTGATTACATAATTTGATGATAATATGAGTATATCAGACGTAAAAAAAACTTAAAAAAAATTAAATTATTGAATTAATTATGATACAGCTAGGTGTAAGAATAAATAATTATTCATAGAACAAAAGTGTCAAACAAAACAGCAAATATATTATACCACGAACTTTTACATTGTTTGAATTAAATCCAGTAAATTACCTGTCCCTTAACCTGTCCCTTTTGCAACTATATTTACTTTTTTTAATTATAAGTAATCTATTTAAGCTCGCAACCAATATCTTTTATATATATAAAAATCAATTGCTGTTCGTTAGTCTCGCTAAAACTCAAAAACGGCTGAACCGAATTATTCTTATATATTATATATTATTCTTATATATATTATTGAATAATTCTTTTTTTGTTTTGTTGGAGGTATATCAGGGATGGTTTAAATATAAAAAAAAATTAGGAAAACCCATAACAGCTGGAAAATCGAAAAGTTCAGAACTGGTTGGTACAACAATACGTCAAGTTTGAGTTAGAAAAAATAATATACTTCGCCGTAATATGCGTATACTTAGACGTTATACACTATTTTAAGTAATTCTTCACCTGCGTACTTACGCGAGCGTTTTCAGCTATCGATCCCTAGCTCAAGACCCGTCCGCCCCTGTGTTTGGCTAAAAAAGCTTAACATAACTTCTTATAATACTACTTTTTATGAGAAATCCTTCACAGTACAAGCAGCAAAACTCTGGAACTCCCTTCCCGATAAGATTACAAATGACAATCCATCTTTAAAACTGTTTAAATCTTGCTTAAAAGAACTTTATCTAAGTGACTCCACATGATTTCCTTATTATATATTTCTTGAAGTATGTGTATGTATGTATGGATATATATATGTAATATGTATGTATGTAATATGTATGATATTGATATTATATTTGATGTTTGTAGTTTGTACCTACACCGCACCGCATTATTATTTTTATATTTCTCACGCTTGAGGGTTTCTGGTAGAGATCTCATAAAGAGATAAGTCATCCTTTGTACACATGGTATCTGTTTTCCATGTTTTTTTCTGGTACATAAATAAATATACCTATGTATATAACAGTAGGTATATAGTCTATCTATTCTATACTAATCGATAAAACGTACCTAGGGACGAACCCGAGCGAAGCGAGGGTAAGTTGATAGTAATAAAATATATAATAATATATAATAAAACCTTTGCCTCACACGGTGGTCAATCAAAAGCCTAATAATTAAATTATTTTTTATCTAGAGATTGTCAGTACGTATATATGTCACATATTGTCAATTTTGTTGTTCAACGTAGCCAAGGTGTTTAAAATTTTATGTTTAGAAAACGTGTGAAAATTTACAAATGATTTTAAGTTCCTTTTTAAGTATTAATCTTCGGCCGAAACTTTATTCATGGGTAAAACAAACAAGAAATATCCGACCAATTATAAAAGTAGGTAAAGAAAAATTTCAATTATGTATTGATGTTCATCAATTTACTAAAAACGAAATACGAGTAAAAGCTCGTCCTGAACACATAATTATTGAAGGAAAACAAGAAAGAAAAACTCAAAAAGGATGTGTAATACGACAGTTTGTACGTAAGTTTAAACTTCCCGATGGCTGTAATCCCCATAAAATAAAATCCCAACTGTCTGAAGATGGTTTTTTAACTATAACAGCTGCTAGAGACACTTGTGACGTGAACTGGCCATGTGAAACCATAGTACCAATTTCTTACTCCAAAGAGTCCGAATGTGCGAGTAAAATTGATGATAAACCTTCTCCATCAGATAGAAAAAGTTCCTAATCATATTACTTTCATATTATTTTGATAAAATGTGTTTACATATATTTAGTTAAAAATACACATCACAACAGTAAATAGTGTTTGCCAAAATTCATTTATGATATTTACATAACACTAACTACACCAATTTAAAAATAGATCTAAAACACCACAGCTAGCGAGAGATTTATATGATATTTTATTTTGGTTACAAACAGACTAAATGAATCATTCATGTAGTTGCAATTTCGTCGCACCTAGAAGATTCCGTACGCAAATATCCCAACGTCATTACTTCATATAAATAGAAGTGTCGAGGTTAAATTATTTCATACTGAAATCGAACGCGATCAACGCAAGATAGTAACGAAATGTCTCTCGCACCTTACTTCTTCGACTACGACCTGCCGCGTTGGCCTCGGCGTCTTTTTAACCAAAACTTTGGGCTGACTTTATCACCTGAAGATCTGTTTAGTGCAACAACCGCACCAATAAGCCCTATCGTACCGAGATACCCGCTATGGTGGTCAAAGGATTCTGGTTCATCCATTAAATTGGATAAAGACAAGTGGCAAATTAACGTGGATGTCCAACATTTTGCTCCAGACGAAATTACTGTCAAAACCTCAAATGGATTCATCGTAGTGGAGGGGAAACATGAAGAAAAACAAGACGAACATGGTTATATTTCGAGACAGTTTGTAAGGCGTTTTAAGATCCCGGAAGATACAAATTCTGACGCAATTGAGTCCAGATTGTCTTCAGATGGAGTTTTAACCGTTTTGGCATTAAGGAAGGACAATCTTAAGGGTGAAAGGAGTGTTCCTATAACACATACAGGGCCAGTGCGTAAAGAAGTCAAGGAAGATTCGACCGAACAGAAATCTGAAAAGTAATAGGTAGTTTTAAAGTAATCTTGTTTACCAAATTTATTTTTTAATTTATTTATATTGACTGACTAATGAGACTGTAATTTAAAGTATCTATGTATTTGTTTTTTTTTATAAAATTTTATATTAAATTGTATATTTAATCTGTGGTCATAATAATTAATAAGTTATGTATATCTAAAATAAAATTTAGATCAAGATGGACGGACTTAAATCCGGATATTGTATGTATTATTAATCTATTTCCCAATTATACAATACAAACAAAACTAATAAATATTATGAAATTAATGAGAGAAATACTTTCTTTTTCTCATCACGCATTTTCTTTGCAGTGCGAATGTCCTATATCAGGAAATTGAACCCGAGATTACCAACGTCTTGGTAAGAGTTGTCAAACAATAGTAACGCTATAAGAATAAATAAATATGCCTTCAGAATTCAAGAAGCACCTTACATTAAAATAAAATATCCATGAAATTTCAATGTTTAATAGTTTTACATACTGCATATTATTTTAAATCTGACTGTTTGTAGGAACATATTTATATGTCAAATGTTATGGTTTACCCATGGACGAATTTTATTTTCTTATTAAGTATAGAAATGATATCATACCTTTAGTATTATACTTATTATGTTAATCGGTACGATATTTAATTTTCATTATTAAAATATTTAAAACAAAAGATATTTAAAGAATTTGAACAAGTTGATCCGTATTATTAATATTATAAATGTGAAAGTGTGTGAGTATGGATCTTTGTTACTCTTTCACGCCAGAACTGGATTGGAAACTAATAATAAAAGATAACTATTACTTATAGTTAAGATTCAATTCAAAGTTCAAGACAGATGTTTTATTAGCATTAATACAAAATCATAACGTCGATACAACCATTTTGTTTTTCTTATAACTATCTTCAATATCTTGCAATGTTCGTCCATTCGTTTCCGGTAAAATAAAAGATAGTAAAATTATGTTAATAACTGTCACAGTACCAAAAATAGTATACAAAGTTGCTTCACCATAGCTTGCCATAAATCCAGGAGTAATTTTTACATAAACAAAGAGCAAAAAGAATGACATGGAAGCCGCAATCCCTGATGATATACCCCTCAAATGTGCTGGAAATATTTCTGGCACAAACGACCAAGCTAACGACACAACACCTCCACCAAAGCTTATGTACAAAACAACTATGGCTATAGGTAGCCATGAATATTTGGTAACATTCATATACATTAAATATGCACTTAAGAAAAATAAAGTAATACTACAGCTAAAGCTAAATAATTGAAGGAACATTTTTCGTGGCACGATCTTACTAAAGCAGAAAACAGCTAAAATGGCTACTAACCTAACGATATCCAAAATAATCATACTTATAAAGGAAACTATTTCACTTTTAAACGTGTTGGCGATCAGATCTTGTGCGTAAAAGATAAAAAGATTTGATCCGTTGGACTGTATAGCGATACATAACAATATCATAGTAAGAAAAGGTTTACCAAATTCCAAAGTTAAGATATCTTTAATAAAAAACCGCTGCGATTTTTCACTCTGCTTTTGTAAAACTAACATAAGTTCTTTACCCGCTTCTACCCCTTTTCCCCTAAACCATTCAAACGATCTAATACCCTCCGTAATTTTGCCTTTAGATATCAACCACAAGGGACTCTCTTCTAAAAATATCAAAAGAATAAGACAAATAAAATTTACCCCTGCATACATGAAACAGCACGTTTTCCAAAAAACATACCCGCCTAATATATGACTTATTAAAACACCTAAAGTAATTGACATAGATGGGGCACATAATGTTAAACTTCTGTATTTAGGATCAGTGATTTCTCCTAAATAAACTAGTGTAATCGGTCTATTAGACCCAACAGACACTCCAGCGATAAATCTGCCTATTAATAAAGTAGTGTTATTATTGGCAAAAGCCTGAATTATCCAGCTTATAATGCTTATAATTGCTAGTACAATGTGACCAGTTTTTCTTCCGTACCAGTCGATGAAGGTCCCGGCGCACAGACAACCAATTATCATGGATAATGGACTGATTGCGGCTGAAATCAAAAATATCCTGTTTAATAAACTTCGTCTGTTCCCGTCGTTAGGATAGAAAAGTACTCAATTTTTAGGTCAAATGGTTAGTCCAAGGCTGCTGCCGTGGCCGAAGGAGTCAGGAGGTCATCATCATTATTTTTATAGCAACCTCTGTCTTGATGCATTTTGCATTGTTAACAATAGTGTAGACAGGGCCCAATTCTTGCTTACGTGCATGAGAAGATCACGTAAACATACTAATATTGAAAATAAATCAGTTTTTGATACAATACGTACGTAACTTATGATTGTATCGTAGCTTTTTTATTTAATCATTTAACAATAAAAAACGTACCGATCCAAGACGCGAGGTTTTCATCATAGGGAAAAGATTCATCTTTTTTAAGCTCTGGCAGCAGTACTGCACTGAAACCAAACGTGAATCCTGAAGCCACTGTCAGCAAACCTGATACAACAGCAGCTGTCAACTAAAGTTAATATTTCAACAATAAAAATCAGTTCTTCAATAAATCTTAAATTTTAACTAATATTATAAAGAGGTAAAGTTTGTTGATGTAGGGGGTAGAATTGGAAACTATACTGATTCAAATTCTTTCCCCAATAAGAAGCTACATTACAGTCGGTTGGTATAAGTTATTTGTTATACCAATAATATAACACCTCCAGGTAGATTTCTAAGTCATTAATTAAATTTCTAAGAAATCTATTGTTAACTGAAACGCCGGCGTGTCCGCAGTCGTGGAGGGAATAAGCACATAGGCATGTATAAAAATAATTAAGCGTGTTAAAACAGGCTAAATTTCTTTTTCATTTTTAATGAGGTAATGAGTTGCAAGTGCACTATTTTGTCTACCATTTATATCAAAGATGAATCTTCTTCTTCTTCACTTCACTTATTTTTAAAGTGAAGCGCAATTCGCTAATGTATGACGATGTAAACGATGCTCTCTTTGTTTCGGACGACCAGAACCAGGGTATGTCTAGTACCCGGAGGTCGACCTGGGACAATCTCCCAGACGTTCTTGGCGTACACGGCAGTATGTCCGTTCGCTGGTAATGTACGCCACCACGCACCCCTGAATGCGTAGCTTGGGTCCCGATCCACTAGGGTTTCTTCGTTGACAGGAGACTATACTTAGAGGCGATGAAATAAAAACACAATTTTTTCCTTTTTTCTCTCTTGGTTTCGGTTCTTCCTTTTCCTTTTAGTTGTTGCCTCTTCGGTGGCTGTCTTGCGACTGACTCGAATCGAGAAATGGCTCGCCTTTTATTTGGCCCGTTAATACCTTACAGAGAGCCGCGTACTTTGAGCTCATTTTTCGAGTAAAATTTCCCTAAACCGAAACCTTGAGAGTCCTTTTATTTTATGTTTTCAGTAAAACACCTTACACATATTTATTTATTTACATGCCTTACATACTATTATACAATATTAAAACATAATATTCAATATATAATAATTAATTAAAAAGTCTTAAAACAAAAATATCTAAATTTCTAGGTTGCTACATTTTTACTATACATTTTCCCTTATAACTTTTGAACGGATAGTCCTATCGACCTAATTCTTGTTTTATTATAAGTTTTATAATAAAATCTATTATTTAAAACATAAACTATTATGCTATTGCAAGAAACAAAAAATCTCATTTTCAAGTTACGTAATTATATGCTAACATTTTACTTACGTACCTATTCCTTTCAAATTAATGTTAAATAGTCTTATATGATTCAAATAAGCAAAAAATACTCTAAACTAACCTTATTACACTAATTAGAACTTATTTTAACATAATAAATCTAATAAGAATGAGATTTCATATTTACAACAATTATTCATAATACGCTAAAATGACATTGTCCCTATATTAATACACACGTTACTCGAAGATAAGTTTTCCGTCGCCGACATTCTCCCCCTCGTGCTTTGCACCAACTCCTGGACTCGGCGACGCTCCCGGCACCAACAGCACCACTCTCGAACTGGGCCTCCGTAGAACACCTCCTCTGGTCTCGACGTCGACGACTCTGGTCCGCCCGTCTGGTCCAGGATACACATGCAGGATTCTTCCGCGTGGCCAGATGCATCTTGGTAGGCTGTGATCGACGATCAGTACGATGTCTCCGACTTGCAAATCTGTGGCGCTGACTCTTCCTTTGGTCTTCCTTGGTAGTAGAGTGGGCAAATACTCTCTCAGCCAACGTTGCCAGAAGTGATCGGCAAGTCGCTGCGTAGCCTTCCAGGTGTGTCTGCCCACAAGCTCGTTGTCCTCGAAGCTGCCGATTCTTGCTGCGCCACATGATCGCCCGATGAGAAAGTGGTTCGGTGTAAGTGCTTCTTCTTCAGGGTTCTCGGAGAGGTGGGTGAGGGGCCGAGAGTTGACTATGTGCTCGGCCTCTAACAGGAGGGTATGAAGTACCTCCTCTCGTGGTTGCCTTTCGTTGAGCGTGGCGTCCAGTGCGGTTTTAATGGATCGCACCAGACGCTCCCATGCACCTCCCATGTTTGGTGCACCAGGAGGTATGAACTTCCACTGCACACCGATCTTCTCCGCTTCCGAGATAAGGTCTTCTTGCTTCATGGTGTCTAGTGCTTCTTTGAGTTCTTTGTTGGCGCCAACGAAGTTAGTGCCATTGTCGGTGTAGATTATCTTTGGCATTCCCCTTCTCGCGGCGAATCGTCGTAGTGCCATGATCATGCTGTCAGTGGAGAGTGAAGGAGTGAGCTCAATGTGTACAGCTCGTGTTGTTAAGCATGTGAATAGAGCACCCCATCTCTTCTCATGGCGTCTTGCTACGGTGATCGTCATAGGGCCGAAGTAATCTATTCCCGTGCACGTAAATGGAGGGTTTCCGTGCATCAGCCTCTCAGCAGGTAAGTTGCCCACTGGTAGTTCTTGAGGTCTTGCCTTTCTTGTTTTGCACCACTGGCATTGATGTTGAATGGTCTTGATCGCTGACCTCAGTCCTAGCACCCAGAAGCGTTGTCTTACTTCGTTCATTACGGTCGCGTGATTCCCGTGATTGAAGCGGCAGTGAAATTCTTCTATGATGAGAAGTGTTGTCTTGTCCTTGCTGTCGAGTACGATGGGTCGTTTGTAGTCTCTGGTAACCCCTCGTATCGCGTCGATTCTTCCTTTCAGTCGCAGGAGACCTTCTTCTAGCACTACGTCGAGCCTTTTCAACTTGCTGCTGCCCTCTAATTGTTTTCCTTGCTGTAGGCACCTGATGTCCTCTTTGAAGCATTTCTCTTGACTTCTTCTTAACAACAGCGTTTCAGCTTGCTCTAGTAGACTTGTTTCCAATGGTATGTATTTCCTTTCTGACGTTTTTGAAGACAGATGTCGCTTCTCAACAATTTTCTTATTCCTTTTTGTAGTTTTCCAGGTAGGATCTTCTTTGCTGGCGTGGACCTTTTCCTTTCTTCTGCAGAGTTGTATGAACTGCAGTACTCTTGCTGTAGCTCGCCAAAGTCTTTTCCACGACGAGAACTTTTCGGGATCTGGTGATGGATAGGAGCTGCCTGCAGTCGCTACGATGTCCGCTGCCTTTTCTTCGCCAGTGGTTTCTTTCTTGAATGTTCTTGCCGCAGGCCAGTGAACTTCATCTCTTCTTAGAAACCCTGGTCCGGTGTACCATCGGTGTTGGCAGTCGAAGTGTTCTGGTACGTCACGTGTTGCATCATCTGCAGGGTTCTGCGCCGTCGGTACCCATCTCCAGTCCTGTGGTTTTGTGAGATCTTCTATCTCCGCCAAGCGATGAGCCACGAATGTCTTGAAGGTTCTCGGGTCCGTCTTGATCCATGATAGCACGATACTGGAGTCTGTCCAAAACGTCTTCTTTTCTATTTTCAGATCCATTTCTTCCTCGACCGAGTGTGCCAATCTGCTTCCTAGGAGGGCCGCTTGCAGCTCGAGTCTCGGGATTGACACCGGCTTCAACGGAGCGACTCTTACTTTTGCTGCTACTAAGCTGACGTCATAAGTCCCATTTTGATTTTCAGTTCTCCAATATACCGTAGCTGCATACGCCATTTCGCTTGCATCCGTGAACGTGTGCAGCTCCCCCTCGGTGCGACGTGGTGCCAGACATCTCGGGATCTGAAGGTCTTGGAGCAGCTTCATCTTCTCCAGGTAAGTCTTCCATGACTCGTACTCCTTTTCTTCTATCTCTTCATCCCAACCGACGCCACTTCGCCATATGTTCTGGAGCAGCCTTTTGCCTTGGATGAGAATTGGTGATGCTAGCCCTAGTGGATCGAAGGTCGACATCACGGCGCTGGTGACTTCTCTCTTCGTAGGTACCTTGAGTCCTTGTGCCACTTCATCTGGCGTGTTCCGAAGGTTCGCCCTAAAGCCTATGGAGTCCCTTTCTGTAAACCAGCGTAGTCCCAGTGTCTTCTCTTCCTTCTCACCAAGGTCCACCTCTGTCTTCTCAACTGACTCAGTCTTCACGTCTTGCAGCAGGTCGGAGTGGTTTGACGCCCATCCTCGGAGTTCGAAGCCCGCCTTTTTGTGAATGAAGTCCACCTGCGCTGTAATTCTCTTGAAGTCCTCTTCTGAATGGAAGCTGTGCAGGTAGTCATCCATGTAATGGTTCAGCTCGATTGCCTTTGCTGCCTCTGGGTACTGCTTCTTGTAGTCCGCCGCGTTCCGGTTCTTCACGTAGATCGCTGTGCTAGGAGATGATGTCGCGCCGAAGATGACTGATGTCATTCTGTACTCCTTCGGTGCTACGTCACGACGATCCCCTCGCCACAGGAACTTCAAGCTGTTTCTATCTTCTGGCCGGATGCGAACTTGCAGGAACATTTCCTTTATGTCGGCTGCCACTGCAAACGGGCCTTGCCGGAACCTCAGTAATACCCCGAAGAGCGATTGCAGTAGGTCTGGTCCCGGTAGTAAAGCGTCGTTGAGGCTTCTCCCTTTAGACTTGGCTGCAGCGTCGAAGACGATCCTTATTTTCTTCTTCAATGGATGTACCACGGAGAAATGAGGGAGGTACCATGTCTTCTTTGAATCTTCTTGTCCACCAGGTGCTTCTTCTGCATACTTGCTGTCGATTAGATGCTGGATCTGCTTATTGTATTCTGCCTTCAGCTGAGGGTCTTTGTCTATCTTCTTTTCAATGTTGAACAATCGGTTCTTGGCAGACGTGTAGCTTTCAGGCATCTGTTCATCTTCATTTTTCCATAGAAGTCCAGCTTCAAATCGACCATCTTCTAGTCTTCTGCAGGTCTTCTCTAGGATGGTGAGTGCTCTTTCTTCTGAATCCGTAGTGGGTCTTCTTGGTAGTACTCCAAGTGCTTCGATTGCGAAGTGATCCTTGATGGCTTGATGCATCTCTTCTTCTGGCGTGCTGACATGTAGACACGTGTTTAAGAAGTGCACCACTTTCGCGCCTCCAGTGTCTGACCCGTGGAGCACCCATCCAAGTCCTGTTCTTGAAGCGACTGGTTGTCCTGGTTT